AGAGCAGGTTCCATTCAGACGAACATCTGCTGGGAATACTGGAAGGAAGTTAGATACGTCATTTCTGATCCAGTTCTTGGACAAAAGGCTATTTCACCAAATCTCTGGCATTTATTCCACCTTAAATCAGCTTTGATACAACTTTTAAAACACTTAGATCTGGTCTAAAATATTCTGCACTGATTATAATTTAGCAAAAACACAATTTGTGAAATTAAATTTTACTCATGAAAGTTAAAAACAGGAAGGTTATATTATTTCACCTGACCTGAGGTGGTCTAGAAGCCGTTAATATTTCATTTATTTTTTGACCTTTAGAGAAGGTTGGCCTGTGACCGGAAGGTTGCCGGTTCAACTCCCAGACTGATATCAAAATGTGGGTGGGAAAGGTGAAGCATTCACAACTGCCTCCACCCTGGGCCTTTGAGCAAGGCCCTTAACCCCCACCATCTGCTCCCTCGAGCACCCAACATGGCGGCTCTCTGCTCCACAGATACACTGACCAACGTCTGCACTCCTCTTTTGTTCGTTCACTTTCAGCTGCTTGTTTTGGGGTGGGGGGGCTGTTTAGTTCCTTCCATCTCCACTTCAGCAGGTAAAGTGTAGTTGTGCAGTCTGGAGATGGACTCAGCCGGTCCAGAACCATCTACTTCTTGCTCCTGATGAACTCCGTCGTTGCTTTGGATCATTAGTTGAATCTTTTATTATTTCGAGAAAACACTTTATATTGTTGTAATATCACAAGAATAGAACAGCATACAGCACATTATTATACGGCAATCTATAGGTATGGTCTGGACAGGTAAAGAGCTTGTATAACCTTTGACCTTTATTTGTGACCTTGACCTTGAAGCTGGCGTGACAAAAAAAACTGTATGCGACACTTTGTTTAACGATGAAGCATTTGTGTAACAAGAAGTTGGAAAGTATTTATGAGCAGATCAGAAGTTATGGGACAGACAAAGACCTGGTTTTAGGTTGACCTTGATTTTTGACCTTGACCTTAAAGTTGTGGTGATGTACACCTAGTGATGACGCATACGTGTATCAAGTTTCAATAAATTATGCTGAGCGGAGCAGAGGTTATGGTCCGGATGCTGTATATACCATAATGCATCAGTCTTCAGGTGTAAAAAAACAAAAACAAACAGGAAATAAAACAAAATTTTAAATATCTAATAACCGTTTTTTAAATAAAAAACCTAATTTCCACTGGTTTTCTTTAGTTTTTCTGACATTTTATCAATTACCAAAACATACACAGGAAGTAAGTCCTGAAAGGAACAAAAATCAAATCTCTGCTCACCACTGAACTGACTGTGCCGCTCCTTCGTCACAGTCTTCCTCAGTGCAACAAGTAAACACGCCCTCGTGTAACGTGAGCTTCGCTTCAGGTGGAGCACCTCCTTTAACCACTACAGTGACGTGTCAAAGAACAAAATCAGCGTGAACGCCGCCCTGATATCGTAACGTTGTGACTTCTACACGTGATAATCCCTTCGCTCAATCTCTTAATCCTTTTAAAATTAAACGGCTGTTGTCAAGACAACGCAGCACAGCGTCTCCCCCCACTCAGCTGAGTTCCTGTCCCTTTGCTTGTTTCATTAAAGAACTTTATTGATGACTCTCCTGTCAGTCCTCCATCTTTCAAAATGGAGCCAGGTTTTATTTGAGCGTTAAATAATGAACCGGGGGGTCAGACTTCATTCGGTCATTTTCGCACCTGATAGTCCGGTGGACTCGGTTCGATTGGGGACTAAAGTTCAGAACATTTGTTTACATTTCAGCTGGTGCAGTTCACATTCGCACTGAACTGAGTCAATTGAGCAAACATGTCCTCCCCCTCACTTGTGGTGGTGCTGCACCAAGAACTACTGAAGGAAATGACACGAAAACCTCTGAAGAAGACAACGAGCGCAACTTCCTTAAAGAAATAAGAACAAAAATGGAGTGGCGTCAAATTTGAGCGGTTTAAGAATTTCTGTTTTGTCATTTTTCAGCATGAGGGGAAGATGAAGCAGAAGACCATGGAGAATGTTGTTTTTCACACAAGGCGGCCGACGGCTCCGTATGAGGTATGACAAAATGTGCGTTTGTTTTGGTTGAATTTACCCAGAATGCCCTGCGCTGTAGTCCACTTCCTCCTTTTGGAGCACTGCATTCCAACCACACCAGAGTTCACTTCAACCGAACAGAGACCTAGGTATTTAGGCAGAGCAGAGTTCGCTTTTTTGGTCCACATCAGAGTTCGACTGCGCATTCACACCTCCCCAAACGAACTGGACTTTCCAGGCAAACGGACCCGAGTTTGATTACAGCGGATTAAACAGGGCTGGTGTGAATGCACCCACATACAAAGCTCTCAACAACCTAGCTCCATCTTATTTTACGGATCTTATTGTTCCATATTTTCCTAACAGAGCACTTTACTCTCAGACTTCAGGTTTATTGTGGTTCCTATAGTTTCCAAAAAGCAGAATGGGAGAAAGATCTTTCGGTTATCAGGCTTTTCTCTTGTGGCGACAACTTCCAGTTTCCGTCAATCTGCTGCTCCCTTAGATAATTTACTCATTTTTAAAAATTTTTTTATGAATGTTTCTGTTCAGTGCACCGAGACAACTTCTGTTGTGACCTGGCACTATATAAATAAACTGAATCGAATCATACAACCGTGCGCAGCATCAGAGACATAAAGTGCCCGCACACATTAAAACTGCAGGAAACTAGGATGCTCTTAAAGGCTGCTGCTGAACACACACGCACGCATACACACAAGAACTCTTCAATCACTCCGCCTTCCCCCCCCGTCTTTTAACGGGTCCCGACAGAACTGCTGTATGGATGTGGTGCCGCTCGCAGCGCGCTGACTCAGCAGGAAATTACCATTCAGCGCAGACAGCTTCATGCTGCTGCTACTCTTTTGATATAATGCAACGCCACGGCCGTGCAAGCCTGCGGGAAGATGGTGGTGGAGGTAGGAGGACCAGAGCGCAGCAGCAAATTTAACACGGCCACGAGCTCAGCGGCAGCCTCAGCTCCTGTCACAGGTTCGGCTGCAGGGCTGTAATAAGGAAAATCAGTCTGAGAACTGAACTTCCACGCAGGATGTTCATACTTCTGAGGTGAAGGACCGAGGAAGGAAAAAGCGTCTTGAGTAATACATTCAAATAAATGAAGCCCTGGAGGAGAGAGGAGCGGTAAGCAGCAGCCCTGCAGCTGTAATAATCCAGGCTGCCGATGCACTCCCGGCAGGTGATTTGCGAGTTTAATCAAGGTGCTATTGCTGCATAATGGAAAAATAAAACCCTTTCCATGCAGCTTGCAACACCGATGGCTTTTAACATCCATTACTGCCGATTCAGGAGAATCCAGTTCAAGCAGCTGAAGCGCACGATCTCTGGCACTTTGAGAGGAAGAAGTGTTAGGAAATCATAATCCTGGTAACACTTTGCTGACAAGCATCTCGCAGCAACATCATCACCTACAGCCAACCTTTAAAATGATCGCTGTCCCGCTCGATCTAAGATCTAACTCCCACACTTTTTATCATTTTGTGTCTGTTATAAATATTTTAGAGATACAAACTATTTCTAACGACACACTGTGGTGCCTTCATTGGTGCCACAATTATTGCTACTGGTCTTGCTGTATATACATTTTAGCATATGCGTTTTTCATTTTAAAAGCTAAACGTTTAAAAAATATTAAATAAAGTTTTCAAACCGATTTAATAAACTTAGTGCTCCTCTATTAAATGTAGACTCTGGAGAGTGGTTTGGCCAATATTTTCTCTGAGATACAACTTTTTGAACAGAACTGCTGGCCTACTTGTCACTCGACCAAATTATACCCCCCATTTTGTTTATATTTACTCAACATTGCATTTTTTCCTACAGTCGGTGTTGTTAATCTTGAATTAGGCTAATGTGATTGTAGTTGTACACCCAGTAATTACTTTCTAAGAGTTTTATTAAAGATGAAATCATTCCTGTTGTGATGGCTGCTAAGGTGGGTACAAGATGGATAAAAGGGAACAGAGTGGCCTTAGGCAGGTACAAAGTGGGCAGAGGCAGGTACAAAGTGGGCACTAAGTAGGTAGAGATGCATACAAAGTAGGCGGGGATGAGCAGAAGGCAGGCACAGGCAAGCACCAAGTGGGTAGAAATGGGTACAAAGAGAGCAGAAGTGGGTACAAAATGGGCAGAGGAGGTATGAAGCGGGCATAGGTGGGTACAAAGACGGCAGGAGTGGGTATGAAGTGGGCAGACAGGTACAAAGAAGGCAGGAGTGGATACGAAGCAGGTAGAGGCGGGTACAAAGAGGGCAAAAGTGGGTACGAAACGGGAAACAGGTATAAAGAGGGCAGAAGTGGGTGTGAAGCGGGCAAAGGTGGGTATTAAGCGGGAAGAAGTGGGTACAAAGAGGGCAGAAGTGGGTACGAAGTGAGCATTGGCAGGTATGAAGTGGGCAGAGGTAGGTACAAAGAGGGCAAAAGTGGGTATGAAGCGGGCAGAGGTGGGAACAAAGAGGGCAGAAGTGGGTACAAAGTGGGCAGAGGCA